AAATTTTTTGAACTTGTTTTCTATTGGCCAATCATATCTTGTAAAATCACAGAATGATCTACAAAAATTAGCCAATCAGAATGAAAGCCTGCTATGCTACGTACGCATATATGCACTCATGCAATTTTATTTTATGTAAAAAAAAAAGGTAAGACCAAATTACTTTAACAAATTATAACCTCTAATGTCTTATTTCATTTTTTATCATAATTTCTTCGTACCGAAATCGTGCTTAACATACACTTATGTGCACACATGAAAAACGGAAACTGCCTTGCAATTACAATATGAAAGGGTGAAACTCGTACAAAAATAGTTATGTTGTTGATGCAGATCTTACTTAGTTAGGGTTAGTGATAGGGTAATTGCTATTATAGATAGTGATCTGCATCAATAACGTGACTACTTTTGCGCAGGTTTCACCCTGTCATATTACAATTTACTTATTTGCGCCAGTAATATAAACCAAAAAAGGAAATCGCATTTGTAAAAGAAAGTTTAGGATTAGGACATTAGGATTAGCGTTAGGGTTAGTGTTAGGGTTAGTGTTAGGGTTGTGAGCTTTTAGTGATAATTCAAGTTTTTATATGTAAAATTTCATTTCCGTTATTTTTTATTAGTCCATAAAAGGTCGATTTAAATACTAGTTTTTGAGTATTTTTTCTTTTTCAGTGTTTTTCTTCGCTTTGCTCACATGTCGGGCTGATCCAGGATCATCACATTTTACATTTTCCGATTGGCCATTTTCTTTTTAGAGGTTTGTATTACCAGTACAAATAAGTGGATGCCTTGCAATTAGGCCTCCGCATGGGCCTGGTATACCCGCGGGTACCTATGGGTAAGCCCTACAAGGGCTGGACTAGGGTATTGATTTTAAACCCTATGGTAAGGGTAAGGGCTTGGAATTTTAGGCCCTCACAATAATGGGTAGGGCTAGAGTAATATATACACTACCCTTGGGCTTATGGGTACCTGTTACTTTTGATGTCCAATAGAATCGTAATACATGATTATCATTTACATCTATATAAGGCGATCAATCAACATCTTTTTTTTCTTACGTTTTAAAATTTTTAACAGCTTATTGCATACTAACGCTAATTACTAAGGTGCTGAATTGCTAGTGCATAACTTACCAGTGCCTTTCTTCTTAAATGCTTTTTTATTAGAGCTCTCTTTATGAAATTTTTAAAAAAAAGCAAAAAATCAAACCAAAAATATAGAAAAAAAAAAACTAAATAAATTACCCGCACTTAAGCCAAGTACTAAATTACCTGCCAAGCATAAAAGCTATAGTAAGTTTGAATAGTTGTGTTGTAAATTTCTATTTAAAAACTTACACTATATTAATAGTAAAATAAGCTTGTTAAAGCTAGATAATTCTATGGAATACGATTTTGATAACACTAATGAAATAAAAAACTCTAATAAGTTCACCTCAATGTCTCTTGTACATAACAATGAAACTACAACTAGCAAGAATGTAAATAAAATTCCCAATAGAGTGCCTAGTAAAATTGCTGATGAAACCGCTAGCAAAGCTACCAATAAAACTTCTACATCATCAAGACATACGTCTGCCATTTGGGAACATTTTACCTTATTAACGGATGAGCAAAAGGCTAAATGTGAACATTATAATAGGTTATTTAGTTACAAAAAAGGGTGTGGTATATCTCATCTACGGCACTATCTTGGTGCTTGTTTAAAATTTCAAAATTTATCAAATGGTTAAACACAATTAAAATTTAACTCTCCAAAAAAAGGACCATATACAAATGATTTGGCCCAAAAAGACATAAGTAACATGATTGTCTGGGATGAATTAAGTTTTCAATTCATAGAAGATCAAGGCTTTCGTAAGCTTATTAATGGGTTGTTACCTAATTTTAGTATTAGTGCTGATACGATTAAATGAGATATTATGAAAGCTTATGATAAGAGAAAAACTTTAATCAAAGAAACTCTTCAAAATGCTGAAGGCAAAATTTCTCTAACTTGTGATGCTTGGACGTCACTTCAACAACTTGGATACTTATCAGTTACCATGCATTATCTTGATAAGAGTTGGAACCTTGTGTCTATTCTATTATCATTTCCATTGATCCCCTATCCACACACTGGTGTTAATATTGCCAACTGTATTAAAACTGAAATAGATAAATGGTTTATTACTACTAAGGTAATTTATATATATTAAGCTGTTAATTAATTTTAATATTAATGAAAATATATAAAATATTGTTTTAAGAAAATATAGTTAAATAATGTTTTATAATTTTATTATTATAGTTACAAACTATTACCCTAGATAATGCTACTTCAAACGATGTTGCAATTCGCGAATTAGCCAATTGTATCTCACAAGACTCATTTATAAATATCAATGAAGATCTTTTTCATAACCGCTATTTTGCCTACATTCTAAATCTTATAGTTAAGGATGGGTTAAAAAAATTTTTAGATGTTATTGGAAAGATAAATAAATTAAATAGTAGTTGAAGTGTATTATTTAATATTCACTAATAATTAATACAGTATATTAAAATTTATTAGGTTTGTAATTGCGTTAAAGCAATACATACAGCACCAAGGCGGCACCAAATATTCCTGGATATTTGTGAATCAGAATCTGTGAAATCTATAATTCCTCCATTGGACTATGATACTCAATGGAACTCGACATTCCTAATGTTGCAATCAGTTTTAGAAGTCATGAATGTAATTACTAGAATGAAAGACAGGGATAGAATATTTTCTGACATACCTGATAAAAAAGAGTAGAAAAATGCCGAATCTATTTGTCGTATTCTAAAGCTATTTTATGATTGTATGTATTATAAGAATTTAATATTGTATAGTAGTTGGAATTTTATATAATTAGATAATTGTTACTGCAGGTTTAATTATTATATACTACATTTTATATTAGAATTTTTACATTAACTTGACTAATTAAAATATATATTAATAAAATAGATACTTTAAAAGCATCTGCAAGTTCATATCCAACCCTCAATAGTACTCTCACCTCAATTTGGAATATTTGTACCCATCTTTTGGGTATGAAATCTCATTTAGATAGTTTTGTTCATGATGTCAGCCAAGCTATGATTGGAAAATTTAATAAATATTGGGAGCATAACAGTGTCTTACATATGACTGCGTATATTCTTGACCCCATTATAAAATACAATTTATTTCATATCATTATCATGAAAAAGAACAACTAGAATCATGAGATCTTGATAAAAAAATATGAGACATTCGAGAAAAGTATGTGTTTATTAATATTTATTTAATTTTTATTTTGTTTTATTTTATTTAATTTTTTTTGTTAAATTTTTAATATTATCGCGGTTTTCGAAATGGTTGAGAATAGCAATATTTTTAAAAAATAAATTTTTTATGTAAAAACCCAAAAACCCGATTAGTTTAGAACAATAGTCGTTGATTGATTCCCGATTTATATAAAACTCAGGTAATTGTTATCAAAACGATTACAAAAGACCAAATTAATTTACAATTGTCCGATAGTCATGCAAGTATATCGTAATATACTTTATCTTTTTTTTTGATGGCTATTTTTATTTGTTATACGTATACTTTATCTTGACAGTCAGTTCTGCAATTATGCGACTCTGTCTATTAACGGTACAATTTATTAAATTTCTGTATTAGAATCTTGTTTTAATTAATCCTACTAATAGTGCTACTTTTGACTAAACATTAAATGTTCTTTGGCTACGCTCCAGGCAATTAAAGTTTGTATTTTAATACTTTTTTTTTTTTCTTAAAATAAAAATAGACTCTAAACATATATATTGAAAAATGCAAGGTTTATTACTATTGTCATGATTGACATTCTTTTGCAGATTAATATTCAAAAATCATATTGCTCATCCTTATTTCTCTTTCATAAAAATGACCAGGGTTTTATTCTTGATATTTTTTTGTCCGCTGCTCTGCCAAATTACTGTGAGAAATTAGAGTATGGATCTTAAAGTCATTGTATGTATTACAGCGTTATCTATCTGCAAATTTTTCAAATTTGTCTCCATTTCGCTATTATTTTAATAACCTACTTTTTGTCTAAAAATCTTCTGACAAAACTATTTTATATCATTGTAGCATAAATCACAGGTATGGGCAATAAATGCAATGGATATTGGTGTCGAGAAGGACACAAAGCAGGCTTTTAAATATTATATAAGAGCAGCTGAGTTAGAAGATCAGATGCAATGAACAATGTTGGTCTTTGTTATTGTTATGAATTGAGAGAGAAATGGATTATCAGAAATAATTTGAATAGCCGGTTGTGTTGGGTTAGTGTGTAGAGTTGGTATGCGTTATGAATATGAAGAGGTGGTCATCAATCAAGATTATAATAGAGCATTTGAATACTGTAACAGGTGATAAGTTAGGTGATGGGTCGGGTATAATCAATGATGTAATTGATTAAAGGCCATTATTAAATTGAAAAGTCAAATCGTACGATATGATCGATTTGATGAATAATGTAGTAATTGATAGCGCATAAACTATGTAGTCATATCTTCGTAATTAATTAATTGACTGTATTACGATTAGTAAAGCGCATAATATAAATAGAAGAGCGAAGATAAGAAAGATCGTTCTTCTCTTATTACACAATAAAAACAATCCTTTACTTTGAATTAATAAACGAACGTCTTTATTAATAAACATTGATAAATACATAAATGAAAAGTAAAAACTAAACCCTATTTACACATCGCATAGTAGTAATTAGTTCACATCTCTCGAGTCCCACAGAGCAAAGCTTTAACCCTCTGGCCTAGATATTTAGAGGGAATAGCAACCTTTAATTAACCCATAGCAATGCTATCAAAGATCTGCTAATATTGGGTAGTAATGTAGCATATATAATGTACTCTGATTTTATCTAAATAGTATCAATACAAAGAGAGATATTCAGAGTGCAAATTATGGTTCAGAAAATATATAAACCTGGTATACAATATTTAAGATGCTTATTTTTTAAATTAGCTCATCTTATCCCCTTTCCTATAGAGGAGATGATAGTGTTTATTAACTTTTAATAATAATAAAAATAACAATTAAAATAATAACAATGATAGTGGAAACAATAAGGATAAAAATAATGATAATAATTATAATAATTATGATTATTCGCTTTAAAGTAAAAAAAAAATAATAAAATTATATTGATTTGATTTTAATCCTACTTACACAATTAAAAGAACTTACAAGTATTCTGTAATCTCCATTAAAATAGACGATAATCTGTTAAATATATATAATAAATTTAATGAATAACGAACTTTCAAATAAAATAAGTAAATAAAATAAATCAAAGCTATTGCCGCTATATAAAGTATCTTAAAAACATACGCCCAATGCATATGTTAGCTCTCATAATAAATTACTTTTCATATAGACTATAGTTCTTCATACAGCAGCACCTGAGTATAAGCTTGTATTTTATTTTTCACCAAGATTCATTTTTGCTTGAAGATTTTATACCTTCTTCAAGCTTTTCATTCATATGAAGGCATCAATATTATATAAGACATCCTGGTATTATTTAATCTTACATAAAGCATCTCGGCATTATTTAATTTAAACAACAGAGTTCATGAATAAGACCGGGATATTTCATACAGTAGCAAAGGTATAAAAAAAAAAAAAGAAGAGATTACCAAATGTATGAAGTTCTGAAATTCGTTCGTAGTGAGCTGTGAAAATCCCTTATTAGTAATAAGAACTTCAGCGTAATAGAGCATCTTGTGAAATTCAATACTATTGCTTTTGTCTGCTTCACAAAAAGAAACTTTGTTGAAATAAGAAAAATGCGAAGTATAGATTTTTACTAAATATTGATACTTGAATATATATAATTGTTATATAGTTACACACGATCTTCAATGTCCAAAGTCACTGAAAAGTATTAGAATTGAAAGTCCAATGATTTTCAATCTCCCAATCAACAACACTATTAGTACAATATTAGATTTGAACTAAATATAGTTTATAGACGAAACCCTTTGTGTAATAATAAAAGACAAAAAATTTCATTTCATTAGTTGATGAAAGTGAAACGTCGAAGTCGAAATCTGGAAGATAAAAATCAAATTGTACTTAACTGAATGTTTATATATGTGCATAATGATCTACTGCGACTAAAAGCTAATATACTAGCCATCCAATGATTTTTTTAAGCTTTACAAAATAAAAAGAAAAAAAGGCTATTTGTCGTGGTCGACTTTGGTGGAATTCATAGCACTAGGGTTAGGTGTTGTGATCAGGATTTGCATGAATGGCGTAATTTGGGTTTGCATAAAAATTAAAAGTTTAAAACATTGATTGCAATAAACGATGACATAGTATATAATAATCAATAACGCAAATATGTATTAGTAATTAATACAAGGCATTAATCCAAATGGGGAAGTGCCTAATGAGAACTTAGATATATACTCACATGAAGCCTTAAACCGATTTTCTTGATCTTTGAGGATGGGTTTTATATGGGACACGTAGACGGAATATATAATGTTGGACGTTGTTATAAAAATGGAATAAGAGTTGAAAAGGACACAAAGAAAGCATTCAAATATTATCAAAAATCTGCAGATATAAAACATGCTGATGGAACATATAATAAAAATAGATAAAATAACCACGCTCAAAGAATTTTTTTTTTTCATTGTTCTATTATAAAGCCTTACTGTTTTAAGAAATCTCTTAAACCATTTTGCAGACAAATTGTCTGCAAAGGTTTTATAGGTTAAGAGATAATTATATTAGTACAAAAATAGATAACAATATTTTATATTCAGAGTTGGAAATGGGACCAATGAAAATTCTCAACAGATTCCAATGAACAGTGTTGGTAAATGGCCTGTTCATCGGTAATTGTCATATCCCTGATGCGATATAAATAATATAACAAAAGGATGTGATAATAGAATAGTATTAAGGGAGGATGAGTAGAGGAGGGATAATAGTTGAAGAAGGGGTGAGATATACTAACGAACAAACGTTTGTCAACACTGCTAGCGAATATGCATTTTTTTTAATAAATAGCCAAATTGTCAACCTTGTGTATATTATTAAGTAAAATCAACTTATTAGTTTTTTTTTAAAAAAACTAAAATCAAATAGTGTCATACTTGGATTTTTTTTTAGCCCACGAAAATTCAAAAGCATTCAATTGTTTAGTTATGCCGCGGGAACTTAGCGAGGATCTTTGATGGAGGATCGTCTACCTAGATGTATACGGGTATAGTAAAGAAAATATTGCTACAGTCTTTTTATTAGTAGAGCTACTGTATATAGAGTACTACGTATATTTGAAAAATGTGGATGTGTTAGAAATCTTTATAAAGGCCAACCCGGTTATAAAAATCTTTTACTCACCAAGATATGGATCAGTTAAACTATATAATTAGAGGAAAAGTAGATTGGTATCTGGATGAGATTTTGATTGAAATGGAAAACCAGACAAATAAGCATTTTTTCACTTCATCTTTATGGCGCTCAATGAAATATTGCGGTATTTCTCATAAGAAGGTAGTTAAAAATTAAACAATTATTATTCGAGTGCTGTTAAGGGAAAACCTGTCATTAGGCTAAAACTAATTTACCTTTAATTAGCTACAAAAAATGGCATCTGAAAGAAATGAAATTCTTCGAAGTGCTTTTCTTGCCAATATTGGGGCAAATTATCATCCTGACCAGTTGATTTTTCTTGATGAATTTGCGAAGGATAAATGTAATTT